AAAGAAACTCATAGAAAATAAAAAATCTATCAGGTTTTACAAATATAAACAATGCAATAATGTTAAAGTTACTAATAAATCAACTATAACGTCTTAAATTTTGAAACAATTATAATTATAATTTCTAAAAAAATATTGTCAAACTGCATATTTTACCTCCCTAATAATAAATACACAATTTTATCAATACTATAACTTAAAATTATTACTCCTTCATGAGTAAATACAAAATTATTTTTAAATAGCAAAATAATAGATGTATAATAATTTTGAGAGACATTAAACTAAGACATGAAAATCTAGCAAGTAAGGATATAAATTTAGGCTATCTTTTCAGAAAAAATATTCAAATGATATACATCTCGTAATGTTCTCAATTAGTAAATATGCAATATTATGCTTCCTTATTTGAGTTATTCAAAATTTACGAAAAACTGTACTTCTTGAGTCGATCAAATTCCATCTCAGTGAAACAAACTAAAAACAAAAACAGAAAACAGAAACAGAAAAACAGGCAAAGAAAAAAAATAAAAGAGTGAAAAGAGGACAAGCGGATTTGTCTGGTTTAAATGAGGCGTTCACGGGTTGCATCCAACATATATATATATATATATATATATTTTAAAACTCCAACTTGAAACTACATCCCGATTTGAATGAGTAGTTTTTCTTCTCTTTCTTTCGTTTTTCTCATAGCTAATTTTTTTTTTGCCTTATATATATAAGTTATCCATTCATAATAGTTAAATGACGAAATATCTATTTAGTATAATTACTCCAAAAAAATAATAGCCGATAAAATATATTTTCTCCTTTACTTTTACTTATCCACTATATTAAAAATAGATTTTCACATTTACTTGTCCATTATACTAAATTAAGAGAAAGATAATTTTTTCTTATTTTACCCTTATCATTAATTACCCATTCCCGAATTATTTTCAAGATTTTTGGAAACGCTATCAGTTTCTATCATTATTATGGGCAAAATTATAAAATATATATTTCATTTATTATTTTTTAAAAGCGTAAAAAATTCAAAGTGGAAAATTAAAAGTGAACGAAAAGAGTATACATATATATATTTAACTAGCGAATGTAATTGTTTTTTACCGACGACAAATGTGTAACTTCCCCTCAAATGACAATTGTGACAAATTTTTTAACCCTATGTTGAAGAAGTTTAAACCCAAATAAGAAGGGGAAAAAGGTCTATGAGAAAAGGGGCCAATGGAACGAACGGCTGAGATTAAATCGAACACGTCAAAAGATAAAGAGGGGAGTACGTGATTGAAAGGTTGTCACTGACAGGTCATGCACACTCTTCTCTTTCCTGTAATGGTTGAAATTATTCCCACACCCATCTGGCATTTAAATAATTTAACAAAAGAAATACAAAAAAGTTTCTATTCTTAGCCTTTAGAAAATTCACAAAATATTCTGGCCGGAATTATGGTTGGCATTCAGTAATGAGTTTACTTGCTTTCTCACTTGTATATTTCTTTTTGCTAATAACTTGTATTCAACAAGTTACCTTTCTTGATATCTCATTATCGGATTTACATTTTCATATTTCATTTGTATAAAAGAATGTTGAACTCTTTAATTAATTAGTCTGCTTATAAAAGTGGTCCTTTTGTTTTTGTGCAAAAGCTGGTTCAGGAATTAGTTGCAATCTGCAGTTGAAAATGGAAAATTTTACATGAAAATATCCCATTGTCTAAGGACTCGTTTGGCCATAGATTTTGCCAAAATAGGGTTTTATTTGGCAAATACATATTTGGCCATATATTTTGCCTACATTTTGGCAAAATTCCAAATCCCGAATTCCAAAACCAGCTCAATAGCTGGTTTGGGCCAAAATATTACTATTACATTTTATAAAATTTGCCCTAAACTTCTGTATTTTATAAAAGAGCCCACCATTTATTATTGTGTAACAATGTTGCTTCGTATTCTCGGTCATCTGATAGTGTATCATGTAGTTCATCATAAAAATGATAATTTTGTACCAAATTTATTTATATTCAGGACTATGGTTTGCGATAATATAATATGTTATTGATAATGGTACTGTTGAATATTTGTGATAGTTGTTAGAACTTGTGGGTATAAGTCATGTTTCATGTTTTTCCAAAATAAATTTGGAAATATATTTTGAAAACTGATGTCCTAACATATTTTCATCTTCAAACCAAACTTCACCCAAATCAGATTTTTCAAAATAAATTTGGGAATCTATGGCCAATCGCTAGCTAAATGCGTAGGCTAAGACAATTTGAACTCCATGGAATGAAGACTACGTTTGAATACATAGGTAGACACCTAAAGTTGTCACGATTTTTCTTGAGATAATTCCAACTAGCCCTTGCTTCGATTGAACACGTCTACCAAGTACTCCTAAAGTGGGAATTATCCCATTAAATCATTAATTACACATAGAGTCTGTTTGAAAAGCCCCGTGTAATTATTAGGGTAGTAATTATACAGTTTGGTAATTACACAACGGCATGTTTGTTTGTCATGATGTAATTATAAAGTAATTACATATGTCATGTTTGGTTGTACAAGTGTAATTATATAGATAAATTAATATTTTTTCAAATTAACATGTAAATAATTTCACTGTGCGATAAATATTTATATGTATAATAGATATTAAATATTATATATTATCATATATTAAAAATGCATATTTTTTATATAAGAAAATATATTAAATAATTATAAAGTAATGCATAATACCATAACAATAATTGTTATCTTTCTTATAAATAATATTATAACTTAAAAGAGAGCAATATAACTTTCAATAACAAATTAAAACTCTTTACCAACTCATGCGAGTGTTATCATTCTTTTTTTTTTTTTTTTAAATTACTCTTCTACCCAAATTTCACCCTTCTGAAATTGAAAGGTAAAATATTCTAGTGCACAACATCATAGCTCAAAGCAACGCGAAGTTAAGGAAATAAAAAAGTCCAATAAGAAACTATCAAGAAGATATGAAATAAGAAAGGTGAAAAAAAGGAACTTACCAGCTGTGGAAGTGCGGAAACACCGCTGGTGAGAAGTGAAGTTGAAATGCTCTGCCTTTTATCTTTTTTTGTTTCCCAGATGAATAATACAAATATTGAAAGAGAGTGTAATTACTCTCTCTCAATTCTTCACCAACCAAGTAATTATTTGATCAAACAAACATATCAAAGTGTGTAATTATACCCAATTCCGATTCCCATATAACTTTCCAAACATGCTCTTAGAATATGTCATTTTCACACCTCTTTTGGACAACTTCTATACTTTTTAGTTCATCTTTGATTAGGGTTGTTCTAAATCGAACCATAACCATTAACCGAACCGAATCGATGGCTTATTGGCTTATTTGGTATCGTATTATCGAAGTAATGGTTGGTGAACGGATTGGGATTTTATAATTAACGACTTAACGGTTTGGGGATGGATTACTCAATTTTCTTATCAGATAAACCGTTAAACCGTTAAGGATTTTTATATGTATACTTTTACTCCTATGTTAGTGAAATCATAGGAATTCCTTTTTATTCCATTTTCTCCTTTGTCGAGTAGATTGAATTTTAAAAAGAAAAAAAAAACTAAAATCATGTAAATTGATATTATGCGATGTCATGTATAAATGAAAGCCCGGTGCATTCATGTCATATTTTAAAGTACCTAAATAATTCAAAATAATTTAGAGATAAAGTTTCAGTCTTTTCTATAGTTATTAAGAGCTTTGTTATGTAGCATAATAGCCTTAACTTATAAGTGGAAATACTTCTTTTTTGACTCATTCGACAATCCGAGTACAAATTACAAAGTGTTAACAAATTCTATCATGTAGCAACAAATTAGGATTGTTCAAAAAAAAATTATTTGATTTATCCGTTAAACCGCTCGACAATTATTAATCCGATAACAATCCGGCCATTGTCTTATTGGATAGTTAGCGGATTATTACATTTATAACCGACAATCGATAAGTCGAACTGTTAAACGTAATTATTCCCCCGATAAGCACCCCTATCTTTGATACCAAAATTATTTAACTAGCCAATTATTTCACGTAAGAAACGCTTTCAGATATGAGCTTGAGCTATTTTCAAGCTAGTGCGAAATGTCTGATTGATACTTTTTTAGGCATACTACAAGTGGTCAATCGGAATTTAGGCTTAATTAAGGCGTTTAAATAAAAAATTGTGACAACTTTAAGTATCCCCTATGTATTAATAAAAGGAAGATTACAACAATATGTCCTTTTTATTTTTAATTTACCCAAATTCGATATTTGCACCAACAAAAGATTATATTACATGCATCTTTACACGTACTGTTATCATTAAATCATAATAAGTTAAATAAATATTACACCTCAATTTTTCACTTAATCATGAGTTCATGACAAAATAATACGGTCAAACATAAATATCGAATATAAGTAAATTCTTACATTTTATATCCGCTAAATGGTTTTCACCATTCTATACTTTATTTGATTAACATCTTATTTTGATGAAAAAAGAATTCATGTCAATGCATTTGTCTCAAATCTTTTATATATATATATATATATATATTACATTATGATGTGTTGTAAATACATCATATATAACTTCAAAAATTTGACATTATTTTGAAACACCTTTAAAAGAAGATAATGACAAAGAGAAAGAAAATTCACCGTTGCTTAAAAAATCCGTAAATTAATGATTATAAATTTACGGACCTTAAAAATTGATAAAAATTGATTGAAAAGCTTGTCCTTTTTGAAAAAAACATCCCTTAGCATCTTAATGTTGAAGGCAAATTTTGTCATTTGGTGTTGTTGCGCTTTTAAATTTCAAATTCAAATTCCTACAACTAAACATTTACTGCTGTAACAAAATAAAATATAAAATAAAAGTAGAAGAAAAATAATAATTTAAAAACTTAAATTGAAAGCCCTCTTTTTTCTCTTGGTATATAAATATGCCTCCCTATTGTCTTAAGATTCCTCATTTGTATTCTCCATTTTCCAAATACTCTCGATAAAGCCGCCGGCCGTCATCTCCGGTTGCTTTGCTACTTTCCGGTGACCTCTTTCCGATCTCCTCTCAGTTTCAGGTATGTCAAGATCCGATCTCTTAAAATTTTATATATTTTTTCTGTTTCTTGTAGATTTTTGAAAAGCCAAGAAAATAGTGAGATATATGTGGGCTTCTGTTTTGAGATCCATAGAAGAAGTGTTAAAAGATATAGGATTTCTGTACGGGAAATGGGTATTTTCTATATCTTGGATGCAAATTGTTCGATGCAGCCATTATTGGGTTTTCAAAAGTTGAATTTTGAATGGTTTTTGATTTATATAATTCTGGATCTAATGAATTGGATCCCTTGTGAAGTTGATCTGCTATGGATTTCCCTTGATCTACTGTCTGATTCCATTTCAAATGGTTTTGAATGGTGCAGAATAGCTCTCTTGTGGTGGCTTTTCAATAAAATCTCGAATAAAGAAAAAGAAATCTTAAGAAGAAGAAAAACTTTCTTTTTGTTGGAATTTGGAATTGATTCTCTCCTTTGTTTTTCTCCTTGGATTTATGGATACCTCTATGTATGTATATATGTGTGTCTGTATATGAAATATATGTTAGCTGAAAATGAGCGTGAAGCATGAGCAAATTATGATTAGTCTGATTTGATTTTGGAGTTTTGCTAGTCTCTTTATAAATCTCCGGTTGGATTCAAGGAGATGTTAAGTTGTAGAGTGAGAAGTATTTTGTGTCATTTAGATTTGCTATAGGTTTGCCCGATTTTTAAGATATTCACTTTGGATTCCCCTCATCTGTATTGGGATGTTATCTTCTTCTCCAATACCCACATGTATTTAGTTTGCTACTGGTTTATTACCATTTCTAGAAGTAGGAATGCTTATTAATGCTCGTTTTTAGTTGGCAGTTGAATAGAAAATGGCTGACGGTGAGGATATTCAGCCCCTTGTTTGTGACAATGGAACTGGAATGGTGAAGGTCAGTTGTTCTTTTAGTTTTTATGTTTTGCAAAGACGGAGTTATGATAGTTAAACACTTTATGTAACATTTACCTTGTCATATTCTCAGTTGTTTTTAATTTTTTGGTTTACACTTTTGAAATGTAGGCTGGATTTGCTGGGGATGATGCTCCTAGAGCTGTCTTTCCTAGTATTGTGGGTCGTCCTCGCCACACTGGTGTTATGGTTGGAATGGGACAGAAAGATGCCTATGTGGGTGACGAAGCTCAATCCAAGAGGGGTATCTTGACCCTGAAGTACCCAATTGAGCACGGTATTGTCAGCAACTGGGATGACATGGAGAAGATATGGCATCATACCTTCTACAACGAGCTTCGTGTTGCCCCCGAGGAGCACCCTGTTCTTCTCACTGAAGCACCTCTCAACCCAAAGGCCAACAGAGAGAAAATGACCCAGATTATGTTTGAGACATTCAACGTTCCGGCTATGTATGTTGCTATTCAGGCTGTCCTTTCCTTGTATGCTAGTGGTCGTACAACTGGTAAGTAATCAGTCCTTCCATTATCCAAATCTTCTCCTTGATCGGCAATGTGTTATGAATCTGAAATTATGAGTATCTTGTGACAGGTATTGTGTTGGATTCTGGTGATGGTGTGAGTCACACTGTCCCCATCTATGAGGGTTATGCTTTGCCCCATGCCATTCTTCGTCTGGACCTTGCTGGCCGTGACCTAACTGATAACCTGATGAAGATCCTCACCGAGAGAGGTTACATGTTCACCACCACTGCTGAACGGGAAATTGTCCGTGACATGAAGGAGAAGCTTGCTTATGTGGCTCTTGACTATGAGCAGGAGCTTGACACTGCCAAGAGCAGCTCCTCCGTCGAGAAGAACTATGAATTGCCTGATGGACAAGTTATTACCATTGGTGCTGAGAGGTTCCGTTGCCCAGAAGTCCTCTTCCAGCCATCCATGATCGGAATGGAAGCTGCAGGTATCCATGAGACTACCTACAACTCCATTATGAAGTGTGATGTTGATATCAGGAAGGACCTCTATGGTAACATTGTGCTCAGTGGTGGCTCAACCATGTTCCCCGGTATTGCTGATCGTATGAGCAAGGAAATCACCGCTTTGGCCCCTAGCAGCATGAAGATTAAGGTTGTTGCTCCACCGGAGAGAAAGTACAGTGTCTGGATTGGAGGATCCATCCTCGCATCCCTTAGCACATTCCAGCAGGCAAGCCTTATATTTTTATCTTCACTTGAATATTGTTTTGCCATTTTAATCAACTGCATTGAATTGTGGTACTAAACTTGACTTGTTCTGTGCTTAATCAGATGTGGATTTCAAAGGGTGAGTACGATGAGTCTGGTCCATCCATTGTCCACAGGAAGTGCTTCTAAGGTGCTGCTGCTGCTACTTTTACTTTGGTCGAGATTTTCCTTTTTTGTTTTCCTGCTTTTGCTATTATGTCGACAGTGAACTCAGGTTTGCTGTCGTAGACGAGTCTTTGACGGTGGGGCTGTGAAAGAAGGGCGATAAGACAACATTGTACTGCTAATATTGTTTCATGTTTACAGTGCAATGTGGATTATATCCTGAACACATTGAGAGAGTTAAGCCTCTTTTGTCTGGAAATATCCCTTCTTGAACTTCTGTATGCTTTTCTAGTAGGTTGTTGTTTGTAGTTGGGGAGAGGTTGTGATGTTTTTCTTTGAATCTTTTTTTTCAGTTTTCGTGTTTTGTTATTCTATGGTACTTTTCTTTCTTGGGAACATATGTCAATATTTATTGAATGAGAAGTTTTGGTAGTATTTTCAGTTTTCGGATATTACTAGTATTTTCTGTGGATAATTTTTGGTGAAGCGTTGTTTTCATCTCTGTTACGTATTCTTTTGTTGCAATCAATGTCCTATTCCTCATGGCGTTTGAGGCTATAAAAAAGCAAAATGCCTTGCCTTCGCGTTTGGTGTACAAAGTCTTGCCATTATACATATTTGGTTTCATCTGAATTCATTGGAGAAAGCCAAACTCAATTATTTCCCATGAATTCAGATGAAACCACATATTTATATAATGCCAAAATTTTGGACATCCGTATCTACAATTAATGGATCTCAACATTTGCAATTCAAGTGACGTATTAATTTCAAGATGAATTCCATTCACAAATATTCAACACTTTTCAAGCAAAGTTTATTTTAAACGTAACTTTAACTTCCATGCTTCTTTTTTTACTTTTGATTTTAACTCAAAAATACTTTTTTTTAGAACTTGAGCTCAAATATTGTTTGAATATCCGTGTTGGAATATTCCGGAAGACGCGTAATCATAATTAGATTTATCACTTGGTGGGTGATCATGTGGAGATGTTGCAATCTTTTAAACAAAAGGCATCGTTTAATCAATTAAAATAAAAGGTTCTGATTAATACTACTAATGAAATATAAAAGCTGTAGATGATCGATGCCTTTTCCTTTCTTTTTCTACTTTACTACTTATTGACAGTAATAACTGTATGGGTAAACTTGAGTGTATCCAGTTGGCAAACATGCTAAGTTATCTTTATAGAATATCAAAATCTAAATAAAAAAGAGTTTGGGACCATTACCTTTATACTACTCATAAAATATGGATTGGAGTTTCAGTTAGCATCATTTAATTGAACCTAACAATAGCATGTTCAAATCACTGCATCTTTTAAACAAGCCCGAGAATGTTGCTTAATTTTTCTATTTTTATTGTCTTAGCAACCAAGCAATTAAATCACAAAGTCAAGCTTTAGTAGCTTGTTACTTGAGCTAAAGTAAATATTTACTCATCACACGGTACACTTAACCATGACTAAGTAATAAATATAAATACTAAAAAAATTCCGGGGTTTGAAATCGTAACACTATAAATCGAACTATATCTCTAGAGGACAATGTTTTATTTCAAGTTCAGTATTCCATTAGCATGGTAATTTAATATTTACTTTGTAGTTAGACGAGTTCAACTTTATTGTTCATTTGGACTCTAAAATTATATGATACAGAAATGCAGTGTCATCTGATCTTTAAAAGATAAAAAAAGCTTGAGCAGTATTAAATTTGTTGGTGTTGACGCTTTGGTATGCAAAAAGGACACAAGAGTCTATGGCTTCATTTCTAATTTACCATCAATAATCATATAAGAAATCATATAAGATTGTAAAGAAAGCAATTTGCCTTTACCTCATTTCCGTAACTTTGAAGAGTAGAGACAATCTGTCTTTCTTTTCACTGAAGCAAAATCCAAAACATGAGAAAATTTCTTTGTTTGTTTTATTATTTTTTGTTTCATTGCTGCCGTTTTGTTTTTAAAGATTTAGTAAGTAAACTATCAGATAATATTATTGTTACTACCCTAAGATCGATACCTTTGAAGTATACAGGTCACAGTATATATTCTGATATTGCTAAATGATACAGTATTTACTAACCTGATAAGTTCAATATAAATAATTAAGATAAGAAATTGAAATCAATACCTCTGAAAATTAAAACTTGCAATCTATGGTAGCATTGATAAAAGGATGAGTAAAAGACTGAAGGTATATCATATGAATAATCTTCTCCAAAGGTTTGATCTTCCTCAAATTAGTAGAGAGTAAAAACAGATAATCTTTGCCATCAAACTGTAAATGGTGCTAACACACCAACACCACTTAATCATAAATATTGTTCATAAAGAAGATTGTAATTAATGAGTTAAGTACATAGTTACGAGTTTTAACAAAAGAAGACACTATTTAATGAGACTTAAAAAAATTAAAATGGTGTAAATGATAGCGGATCCAATCCAAGAACGGCTCAAAAAAAATAATTTTTTAAATATTTGGCTTTAATTTTTTTTTAAAAAGTGTAGTGAGTGACCTTGTGAGTAAGATGGCAAAAACAGAGAGACTCTTGTGATACAAAAAAAAAAAGCGACTTTTATAGACAATGAACCTTAATTGAGTGGTTTTTTGAGTAATCAACTCAGCTTTTATTATTCTTCATCTATTTTTGGTGTATGATACAGTTTCTGTATTGCAGTTTATGAGATTTGACAGGACATTTCTTGTATGGTTAAATCTTTTTTTTCCCCACAGTTTCAATACAATCTAACAAATCAAGTCTATTGAATATTTGACAAAGATTAAAGGTGCTCACTTCAACAAACTTAAAGGACCAACCTGCTCATGAGTATATTGAACGGACCACTTTGAACCTACCCCAAAGATAAGGGACCATTTTATCATTTTTTTGTTGTCCCGGCTGCCTGGTATTAGTATTGTTCCCATTTTACAATTTTTGTCAAAAATATGCTTCATTTTGTTCTATAGATACGACACACTTGACCTTTTTATCCTTCAACTCTTCTACTTTTTTTTTCCAACCCTTCGTTCTTCTTCCACTGTGCTGATAATTTTTTTTTATTAAAGAACAACTTTTACATCATGAAAAAGGGGAGCTTTGGAACAACAGTCAAATTGTCTCCGTGTGACATATAGGTTACGGGTTTGAACTGTGGAATCAGCCACTGATGCTTGCATCAGGGTAGATTGCCTATATCACACCCCTTGAGGTGCGGCCCTTCCCCGGATTTTTTTTAATTTTCACATCATGCAACTTCCTCTTAGCTGTAGGTTTTTGTTTTGTCCCTGTGACAACTTATCTTTCAATCAGTTTTTCTATTTTAAATTTATATTTGTCAAATTATACTACATTTATTTTTCAAAAATAATATACTTATGTCGCTAATCCGGAATCCAAAAATCTATGCTTAAGGGACGAAAACTGTACTCTATCTTGTGTAGTTGTCCAAACACATAAAATAAAAGAAAGGTTTATGTTTCAAGCTTCAACCGCTACTAGAGGATTCTGATCGATCATCTTTAAGGTGATATTTAGTCAACCTTATATCGTAATAAACAATTGCCTTAGGATATAGTGATGTATGTTATGAACTATACACATTTTTTATTTGAGATAAAATGAATGTTAATCCGTCAGTGAACAATTTAACAAGACAGATAGAAGGAAAATAATATCAAGTCTATGCCAATCCGTCATAACTCATGAGCAATTTTGACAAAGATAGGTTTATGAGCCTAAGACTGAATATAGGGAAAGGTTTGTTGTTCCAATGAATTGAATTTGAAGCTTGTTTCAAAGAGCTGTTAGTTGTCAATGATGTTGAACACACACGTAGGAAAAAATGACTTTAAATTTTCTAAAAAACTCTGTTAGTCTCAACAATATAACCTCTTCTTAACAAGAGAGGATCCACCTCCAGATAATTTTTCTTGATAAGCTCCTTTTGGAATGGACATTAATGCACTTACATTTCGTTCTGAGGAAATAAAAGCCCCTTCTCTTAGTCCAGATATTCCTGTGAAATACACTCCTTGAATATATATTGAAGTCACTGAAAACTTCACGAAAAGAGACGTTTTTATTTCTGAATATCTATGGCGAAATTGGAGATTAATCAAGACAAGGTCCCAACCTGGTAGGACAAGTTACATGAAGTCAAACACTCTGCAGCATTTAAACCTTAATCTGTAAAATATGACGAAATCTAGTCAACTATCAAGCTGGAGGCGATGTAGCCAACTTTTAAGCTGGGGCACCGGACATTGCCTCCATTTCTTCAGCTGCAAAAGGAATTGGCTTGGTTGGGGCAGGCAACCGCCCAATGCTGTCCACCTTCTCCTTCAGTTTTGGTGGAGGCCTTGCCGGTCTTGGAAGCAACCTGCCCTTTTTCTCAAACCACTCGGGTTTCAGTAGTGCCCGCAACCCTAGTTTGTTGTAATGCACTCTCCTTACAGACCCGCCTGCTGCTTCCACAGCTGCTTTAGCTCTAGCAGTGACCCTTGAGACCTGTCATCAGTTGATGTTGGGTGAATACAATGAGGGGACATACATTCATTCATGCTCATTTTGAAGGCAAATATGCTCCATATTCTTTATTTAGTGATACTGTTTACAAGAGAATAAAAGGATCATGTCAGACCATATTCATGCCTGGCTTTATGTACAAAATAAAACTTACTACTCCCTCTATCCCAATTTATATGACCCTATTTCCTTTTTTGTCCGTTCTAAAAAGAATGACCCCTTACTAAAGTTGAAAATAATTTAACTTAAACTTCCAATTCTATCCCTCAAGGAAAAGCTTTTATAGCCACACAAATATGTTGTCATGTTTAACACCACAAGTTTCAAAAAATTATAGCAACACAAATATTATGGTTTGCTTAGGACAACAAGTTTCAAAAGTCTCCATTTCTTTCTTAAACTCTGTGCCAGTCAAATAGGTTTATATAAATTGGAACGGAAGGAGTATGTGGTTTTGGTCATTTTCCATTTTCTTAGTTTCTTGCCTTCTTTGCCCATAGAGCAGTGACTAGGGCTTCAGAAGATACACCTAAAGAAGATAAATACTAGCACCCCCACTCCCAACCAATCATATTTTTGAAGATACACAGAAACTTCTGGAAGTGCCAAGCTGACTTAAGCTTTTACCGTTACTTATACTTGGGAATGCATTCACAATAAATGGGGGTACATGTGCAACTCGATTCTGAAATTCAAACGCAAGCTGTAAAGTTGATGTTATTTCTATCAAATAAACTTTTAGATAAAGTTCTCTTACATAAATTTTATAAGAAGTGTGACACAATATATTACGGAAAAGAAGAAGTAAACTACAACAAAACTAAGAATCCAAAGGCTATTCTACTAGTCTTAGCTGAATATTACCTCTAGATGGATGGGCCATTGAATATGTTCAGCTCCACGCCCCATCAACCTGACTCCATCT